ATTTTATTATTTTAATAAAATAAAATAAATTATTAAAAAAATGAAATGGGTCAAATGGGTTATCACGTTGACCCGTCGAGTTAACCCCTTATTGACCCCATGATCCAACAGGTTCTCTTAATGGGCTATTAAGAGGTCACAAATCAAAAATGACTAACCTTAACCCATTTTAAACAGGCAAGTTATAGGCGAGCTAACGGGCCAAGCTAAGAATTGTCAAATCTAATTCCAAATTGGGAAATGCAACCTACAAAATGAATAAATGCATCATGCCATTGAATGAAAGGATAAGGACAATTATTGGTCCCTAAATTAAAACCAAAACAAAAGTGAAATGAGGAACATATTACCTCAATAGAAGGAAAAAGAGTTACTCACTTTTTACAATTTTCAACTCTTAATGATTTCAGTTTGGAAAGGGAATCTGCATGTACTTTGTTATGCCATATCATCTCCAAGTTTTTCAAGTGAGTGATAGTCAACTGTTCCAAGTTGAGAAATGTAGCCTACATAATGAATGAAAGCATCGTGCCATTGACAATTAAAGGATAAGGACAATTATTAGTCCCTAAAATTAAAACCAAAATGAAAGTGAAATGAGGAACATATTACCTCAGTAAAAGGAAAAACAGTCAATAACTTTTCACAATTTTCAACTGTTAATGATTTCAGTTTAGAAAAGGAATCTGAAAGTACTTTGCTCTGCCATATCATCTCCAAGTTTTTCGAGTGGGTGATAGTCAACCCTTCCAAGTTGAGAAATGCAGCCTACATAATGAATGAAAGCATCGTGCCATTGACAATGAAAGGATAAGGACAATTATTAGCCCATAAAATTAAAACCAAAACGAAAGTGAAATGAAGAACATATTATCTCAGTAGAAGGAAAAAACAGTCAATAACTTTTCACAGTTTTCAACTATTAATGATTCCAGTTTGGAAAAGGAATCTGCATGTACTTTGCTCTGCCATATCATCTCCAAGTTTTTCGAGTGGGTGATAGTCAACCATTCCAAGTTGAGAAATGCAGACAACATAATGAATGAAAGCATCGTGCCAATGACAATGAAAGGATAAGGACAATTATTAGCCCCAAAAATTAAAACCAAAACGAAAGTGAAATGAGGAACATATTACCACAGTAGAAGGAAAAACAGTCAATAACTTCTCATAAGTTTCAACTGTTAATGATTTCAGTTTGGAAAAGGAATCTGCAAGTACTTTGCTCTGCCATATCATCTCAAAGTTTTTTGAGTGGGTGATAGTCAACCATTCCAAGTTGAGAAATGCAGCCTACATAATGAATGAAAGCATTGTGCCAATGACAATGAAATGATAAGGACAATTATTAGCCCCTAAAATTAAAACCA